ACACAAGACTTCCTGGGTGTGAAGGATGAAAGAGATTATCCGAATAAAGGTGAAATCGTGACTTTAATCCAGTCAGGTCAAACCAAGGCAAGGCCATGTTCCTTGCATGAAGCCAAGAAACTTCACTTCACACTCCACAAACTCTGAGAAGGAAAACTATAAACTAATATGACTGGATTCGCCAAATGATGTGCGTGCAAGAGTTGTTTGTTCTTCAAAACGTAAGTGAAATCAAACCTCTCGGTCCAGAAATAAACAGATTTTGTTCCGCTGACAAGAACTAACATCTCCTTTTTGTTCTTTCTGATGCATTTTAGTGTCTGGACTCTGGACTGATTTCAACCTGCATTCAGCTCTGCAGAACTACTGTTTAGACTGACCTGGCCTTTCCGAGCAAACTCATGCAGTGAGAAGCCAAACTTCCAGTGAGAGAAAGGAATTTGCGTCTCTACAGGAGGCCAGGAAAAAGAATCAACACATACAAAGTCACAATCGTCTTTCCACAGCAACCTCCTGAAAGAGAAGCGATGAATTCTGCCTCAAAGCATTACACCTCACGGCACAGTTTAGACTCGCACTTATTCTTTTACCGATGAGTTTCTCACTCTCACTTTCGTCATCACATATATGGATCCCTTTGCTTTCTTTCCGCCGTTTGCTGCCGCTTCCTCGGGCCATAGACATAAAAATGGAATCAATACAAAACCACTCGAATGCAGGGAAGCCACAGAACTATCAAAATAGCCCCACCAAGGCTTGACACAAAGCCAATATATACTGATCAAACTGGGTAATTAGTAATTTCCCTACCCTTGACGCAGTAGGCTTTTTGTTCAATGCTTACTTTTGCTCAATCAATACTTTACATCTCTGTATGCTTTCAGGCCCTTTAAAATCCATCAGGTGCATGCTGGCATTACCTTTACTTCAAACTGTTACGAAAAACAAGCAGACCCAGTAGACAAACAACTAGGAGAAACACCTGTTGACAACAGTATGGTATTTAAATCAGCAAACCGTGCTGAAGCTAATGTCCTGCTCAGTTTTGAATAAAAAAGGGTTAAGGGTTAAAGATAGTCAAATATGAAAAATATTTAAATTCTGTCATCTTTTACTCACCAAACCTGTATGACTTTTCTTCAAACAGATAAATGTCTTCTTTTTTTTCATACAGTGAAAGTCAATGGGGTCCAATGTTGTTTCGGAAACCGTTGATTTTCATTGCATGGACAAAAAAACGTTTTATATTCATCAAAATGTCTTTTTTGTTCCACCGATGTTCATACCTGTTCGTACATTTGGAACGACAAGAGGAAGATTTGGGGGTAAACTTTCCTTTTAAGTAGGCTTGCTGCGATAGTCTGTACTAGGACTAAAAAGTAGCCTAGCTAAAGATGCAAAAGTAGCGACAGCTCCATTCTTCCGTATTGTGACATACATTTGAGTGAAATGGATTATTGAAAAAGAAAAACAATGGCGGTTGGAGACTTGGTTCTATCAGCTGGTTGTTAATTGGATGAAAGCAGATCTGAACGCAAGCTTGAGGTCGATTGTAAGAAAGGGGTGGGGTTTAAGCGAATGAAATGACTGGAGAAGTGCGGCATATATCACCAAAAAGAGGTCTGACATTTTCCCCAGAAAATCGAGTTATGATCAAATTTAAGAAGTGAAAAAAAGAATCGTATCCAAGAATGAATTGTTCACAATAGGCTTTATGCCGAGCGTCACGTGACCAAGCCGGAAAACAGATCACATCGCTTCCGATTCAGGTCTTTTGTATGTGCTTCATGAAATTTTTTTCGGTTTTACTCAAGATAACTTAAAAGGAGCATGCAAAAATGAGCATAACCAATGTCCTTCGCATGTGCAGATTGATATTTAAAAGTTTTTTAATTTTTCTTCTTCACACTAACGTTTAGATATTTAAATAGCATAAAACACCAATAACAAAGTTAGTAGGTTAGCTGATTACCTTAAAAATCCATAGATATCGTAGTTAGTTCTTACGGCCGTTAACACTTTCTCTGACAAGCGGATGCAATGAGACCCATTTTCCGGTTTGGTCACGTGACGCTCGGCATAAAGCCTATAAGATCAGTAACATGCATGTAGAATATAGGGTGAATTTTCATTTAAATTTAACCATCTTTTGTCATTAGAAGTCTGAAACATTTGGACATTATATAATTTACCATCCTTTTCTCCATCATCATTCTCATGCACCAAGCAATTAAGAGTTCATTAAAATCGGTTGCAAACAGCACAAAAAAAGCACACAAATTCTGTTCACAACTTTCTAGACATGAAGTACTGCATGATTGACTCAATAAAAAAAATGAATTACAGTCAACTACCATGTACACCAAAGAGGCCACCAATGTTCAGAATATCGGTCAATCAATATGGGTTTCTAAATGACCGTCTCCTCCAATCTAGAATATTGGGTTACCTTCTTGATTACAGTTGATTATCAAGGAAAAACACCCAAGGACTGTAAATAACTGCATGTCTGTAGATGCACTGCACTCAATGCTGTTAAACCAGACAGTAGCCAACATAATCTGTTATTATCTGTTATCTAAAATCCTTCTAATCAGCATAAACAGTGTTTTACTTATCTTTTACATAATCCTAACACGCTCTGACTGTCAGATAAAACAAATATTCTTCTGGCAAATAAAGACTGACATGCTGCTTTCTTGACTTGAAGATAGGATGAAAGCAGACTAAATACAATTAATTATGTGAAATAATTATTATGTAAAAAGTTGGCCATGATGTGCAACACTTGGCCAACACTTTTGCAACACTTAAAAATAAAGGTTCCAAAAGGGGGTTTTCACAGTGATGCAGAACATTTTTAAAAAATCTAAAGAACCTTTTTCCACTGTAAAGAACATTTTGTGCAGTGGAAATGTTCCGGGTGTTAAAGGTTCTTCAGGGAATCATTGATGCTAATGAAGAACCTTTATTTTTAAGAGTGTTGACTGACAGGTGAAAGTCTTGCAGGGTGAAACTGCCCTACCGCTTAAGCCTCACTCGGATAAAGCCTCGGATAATCCAGCACATTTCACACTACTTGTAAACAACTTCAAGTTAACCACTCAAGGCAACAGCCTCAGTGATCAACTGGCCAGCTATCACCAAACCGATCTTTCTATAGCGCCCGAGTTAGATTCAGTGACAAGTTGACAACCACAGACTTAAGCGGTGATATCACAAGGCCTTCCTCAAATATTTGTCATCTCTTGCACAATTTTGCAACAACTCATGGGAGTGACACTGCAACAAAACCACACAATTATGTTATTCAGTCGTACTCAAACTGAGGAGCAAGAAACTGGGAATAAACCCAACAAGTTGACGGGAAATTATGTCAAATTTGCAAACAGTTGATGAGCGTGCTACAGAGTTTCACAGATCAGTGCTTTGATGCTACTGTTGTGTTTCTTAAAGGGAAATGAATAATGAATGAGACTGTCATTCTGCGAAACATCTACTTTTCTGTTTTAAGAAAGGAAGAAAGCTAGGCTATACAGTTTTAGAACAAAATAACAGTCAGCAAATTATGACAAAACCTACATTTTTTAATGAACTGTCCCTTTAAGTAGGGAAAAAGTTAAAATGGTTCGGATTAAAGGTGCACTCAGTAAAGCTGTTTTCGAAATTGCATGTCTGAGTATGTACTACATATTACAGGAGTAGGTCATCCAGGTACTATACTAAATATAGTAGGGAAGTATGCATATTTCCGATGCAGCCTAAACCTGCGTCCCAATGTGCATACTACTATCCATCATAAATAGTATGTGAGATTAGAATAAGATGGCTAATATTGCCCACAACCCACTGTGCATTGGAGCAGGATTTTGATCAGAATTACAAAAATGAAGAAAAAGTTTTAAAGAACTACAAACATGGCAGATGTGTGAGACCGACGGTTAAGTAGAGAGGTTTAGTTGAAGAGGTTTGAGTGACTAATAATCAACATTTAACCTGATAAAAAAGTAAAAGTGTATTTAATGTTATCCATGTTATATTGCAACAACAATATTAACTTTTATAAAGATCCGTTAGGCCATTAACTTTTAAATGCGCCATTATGCAAAAATATAAGGAGAGTTCTCTGCATGAAAGACCCACGACTGTCTGGCACTAGATCAACATGCTACCTCTTTTCTCTCCAATACGGTAGGAAATGAAATAAGGAGTATGTACTTTTCCTTCATAAAAAAAAAAGAGTACATACTTTTAGGGCTTAGCATAAGTAGGTCAATTGGGACACACCGCATAAGTTTTTACTCTGTTCAGCTCTTATTTGTCTCAATAGTACCAGTGATTTAGTACTTTGTTCTGACACCTTTCGGTCTGGATGCATGAAGTTTGTTTACTAACTGCTGCCGCTTCATAGCAGTTTGTTTTCTCTCCGTGTCATACTACACATCCATAAAATGTGCATTCTTGGATTCAACACATATAGCCTAATGATATACCAGGGTGCGTTGGTATTACTTTGTACTGCTTGTTTATAGATTCCATTTCCCACTCAGCAATTGCTTAATCACTATAAAGTACATTATTGTTATTAATTTGTAGTAGTAGTCAAAAAACAGCATGACAGGTCCGGTCATGTGATGTCAACATGGCAGTGCCCATTAGGGACCCCCTCCAAGTAGAATTAAACAGCTGTTATACTAGAAAAATTATAGGTCTGTAGTCTTCATATCATATTAGTGTAGCCTACAACATTTTAAACATATTTCTCCATAGTGCTATTCATTTCATTGAATGTAATTTTTTTAATTCTCATGAAAAATACGGAGTGCACCTTTAAGATCAGTGTCCCAGTCCACTTCAGAGAAGTACAATCTTTATGATTGCAGTTACAAAATTTAAACTACCATATGCCTCACATTGGTTTTATTCTAAAGATCGGGCCCTTTAAATGTGGACTGCACAGTCCAAAAGACGGGCCTTGTTTGTAGAAAACACATTTTTACCTTGTAAACATCCCCGTAGGTCCCGCTGCCTATCCTCTGGATAAGCTCGAAATCCTCTTGCGGATTTCGCCTGGACAGATCGAAACTAGAGTTCATCATGGGGACTCCGGCCTCTGACTATCAATGTTAGATTTGCTGGGAGCCCTGACACGGACGAAAGGAGAAAAACGGAAGAAAAAAAATAAACATACGGCGTCAGAAGGGAATCTCAGTCGCAGTACTTCACTAACTTTAACATGGCTTCCCGTGAGCTCCACTGCGCATGCGCTGCTCTCGTAGAGTGGAGAATGTCTGGAATGGGAGGATGAAGACAGGAGGAGGAGGAGGAGGAGGAGGAAGAGGAGGAGGAGGATGGGCTGGGTCAGATGACCAGAAGCGCATAGGCACCAGCAGATAACCTGCTTCTGAGGAATATTTTACACAAATCGTGTTCGAAACACTATTTGAATGGCGTTTTATTTATTTCATTTTCTTCTTTTGAAGTTTATGGTGAGTGACACTGGTTTGATAATTAGTTTGTCTTGTTTTGATATTATCTTTAATATAAGGCCTACAGTAGGCTACACAAATAACTTTTAATTAAAAAGATGTGCTCTTTTGATCCAGTAGAAAGTAAAGAAATATATATTTTAAAAAAACGGAATTATCCTATTAGGCTACATTAATAAAATAAAACATGTCAATAATAAAACCTAACATAACATATTCATAATAATTTATAGACCTAATAATACTTTAACTTAACGATGTGATGACTTCATGTATCATATTATTGCATAAGAAAGCAGAAGTATGACTGTCACAGACTTTTTTGCTAGAAGTTCAGATGAATTCACATGCAGAGAAGTCAAAACTTCTACTACAAAAGTCTACTATAGGACACCGACAATCGAAACCAAGTATTCAATGTACAATAGAATAGAATTGGTTTATGTAAACAGGGCACTATAGTGACAAAAATTAAAACAGGAGGCAACTGATTTTGATGACTTTATAAAATTTCCCTCCTTGCAAAGCTGTTTCCAGAACGATTTTGTACAGAAATGTCCCTTCACTGTTAGATCATTGGTTGTAGTTGTTTTACATTCTAGTATTTCGTAATGGATGTTACTTTCTGATCTGTATGTGATGATAACAGTGATGGGTTGAGGTTTCTACATGGATTTTCGAGAGTTAAACAAGGCAGTTTGAGCTCTGTTTTCTCACATATATCTCTCCAAATATGTGACAAATCACTGACAGTTGACAGATTAACAGTTGTCAGGATTCTCCATGTGGTTGACTTACAAAACAGTCTCATACTTCTTCCTCCATCTTCTTCTCTTTCAGCTCAGACAGGATTGTGATTCAGCGCTATTTATTTCCGAATCACAGAGGAGTGTGTGCCAAGAGCGAGCTTCTGAACACATTTGTACTTACACCATGTGGTTGTTATGAAGGTTTTATGAGCCAGGACTATTCAGTCTAATTTATTTCTCAAATGCCAGGCACACATCCAGGATGCAATTTATTGACTGATTATTAAAGCATGCACTGGCACAGATCAAGGTCTCAGCATGACGGCAGTTATCAAACAACCAACGCACATACATGACATGTATTAGACACCTATTCTTTCCTGGCTGTTGTTTTCCAACCATTTGTTGTTGTGGTTTTTAATGCAATGAGCATAATTGTATTAATTTTCAATTACTCACTATCTTTTGTGTGTCTGTTTAAGTAATGCCATAGTGAGGGCTAATTTAATTATTTTTCTAATCAATCGGTTATCAATTTCTTAATATTTAATAAAAATATTATTGGTTTGAGATAGATATTATTTAGCCTATAATGACCTGGTTCATATATCTGACTCATTTTAATGCACATAATATGCATATCAATGTCATATACACTCTTCCCAACTCCTTTTGAATCGAAGAATTCTTATAATTTTTTTTCATATATTTTCAACTTTGCAAGCTTGGTCCACTATTAAAAGAGTATTTCATTATAAACAACCCTTATTCTCTCCTCGTTGGTAAAGGGTTTGTGTCCCAAAATGGGATCATATTGGCAACAAGCCGGAATAAATTATATGATCTCTTCTACAAAGGTAAACCCATAACCTTTGAGAAGCTCACATTCCATTTCCATATTGCACAAAAAAGATTTCTATACATTTTTACAAGTTAGACACTATGTTAGCACTAGAAATGGTGGAAATGGTGGTTTTATGAGTATGGGCAGAATAAGTTTATTGATCTTCAAAAATCTTGGAGGAAAAACATGTTTGGGTAATATATGGGTTTGCTCATGGGAAAACATCATTAAACTCCCAGGAACTATTTCTGTCTGCAACAAATTCAGAGAAATGCAGTTTAATACATAAGGCTTATATGTCACCATGCAAATTTAACAAACAGGTATCACCTAATTCTATGAAGTGCAAATATTCCCATTGTCTATGGGAATGTAATAAGAACTTTTTGGCTTTCAATCTGCAAGGCCCTGTCAGACATGTGTTTACTTGGCATTTTCCCTCCTCCCTTTGAGGAACACAAAGACATTGTCCATCCTTTGCTGATGTTGGCCAAGAAGGCCATTATGAACAAATGGGTTGGAGATAGCCCTCCATTATAGGGATTGGCTAGCTATGATAAAGGATCTTATATCTTTTAAAAAAAATCTTGTGAGCAAACTCATGTAAATAAAATGTGTAAAATGTGAATCATTGAAGTCTCTGGGATTAGTGAAGATTCCAGAATGTATCCATAATGGGACAATTGTTTAGGCTACCCTTTGGTTGTGGATGTATATTGGATATTTGTTTGTTCCTTATTGTTTTCCTCCATTGTGTTGTAATGTACATAGGCCTACTGCATGTATTTTATTATTATCATTATTTTTATTACTAATATTATTATGATCGTTTGGTTTGATTTTGTTTTGTTTATGACTATTACTAATATTATTATTATCATTTGGTTTGATTTTGTTTTGTTTATGGCTTGTGTGCAACACACTGGTTGTTTTTGATTGACGAGGACAATATCAATAAAAAAATATTTAAATAAAAATAATATAAAGTAAAGTAATAAAAATATCAATAAAATAAAGGTTCTTAACTGTCATTAATGGTTCGATGAAGAAACTTTAACATTCATGGAACCTTTCCATTCCACAAAAAGGAATGTGGAACAATGTTCTTTAGATTGTTAAAAAAATTCTTCACACTAAAAAAAAAAAAGTTTTTTTAAAACTGTTCACAGAAAGATTATTTGGGGAACTCAAAAATGGTCCTTCTATGACATCACTGTTACCCCCCTCCGCCACTCCCAACACCCATTCTAACCTTTATTTTTAAGAGTATTTTGACCTTGTTATGAAAGTCATGATTTGTTCAGGTCTAATTGAGTAAACTAAATAAAAACCTCTTAATTCCCAAATATTGTGTAAACGCATGTATTCGAGGGACAAGGGAAGTATTTTTTTTCATTGAATGTTAAAAAAAGTAAATCAAACTACTTGTAAAATATGGTTGGCTATAATGTTATTAAACATAGATGCAAGTATTGCATTAAAAAATCGATAATTTTTATCATATCAGACATTGACCCTAAAATAGCTACCTTTGTTTGTTACTAGAACATACTGGAAAACATTTATTCAGAATATTTTACAGTCTAATCAAGTTCTTAATTTGTTTTTCCCCTTTGCATAATGGTCTTCTGCTGCATTGATGTTTGCCTGATCAAACTGTAGTCACCATCACCATCATCATCATCATCATCATCATCATAACAGTTCAGTCGCGCGCTTGCAGGAAACCGCCTCGCCTGTATCCTTGACACACCCATAGCTATTGTTGGCACAGTAGGCGCGCGACAACCTTGACATTCCCACACGCGCGTTCAGTTGCACGATGAAATCTTGGTCTACGTGGATGCATCATCCTTTTCAGGAAAAAGGAAAGTAAGACAAGCGGCTACTGCGGATAAAGGAAGATGCACAAACGCCGAACGGAGTGCAGGTAAACACACACACGCACGGCCATCGCGCATCCCCATACAGATGCCCACAGTACCGCACGCGCAGACACACTCCGCTCATTCACCTGTAATGACAGATCGCTGCTCAAAGCGGCGCATTGTCCCGGAATACGGCGAGGAAAGTACGCTTCATGTGAGAGATGACTGAGTGAGTTGCGCGGATGTTGGAGACATGGAGAAACGAGCTCTTGTAACGGCGATTAGCTTGTCCATGAGCCTCCTCGCGCTCATGCTGTTGGTGACGGCGATCTTTACCGACCACTGGTACGAAACCGACACCAGGAGACACAAGGAGAACTGCGACCAGTACGGCTCGGAGTCCAACGACCAGAAGAACAGGGAGATGCCCATCTATCACCTGCCTTTGGTGGACAGTGGTAATGCGAAGCGCAACCTGGCTCCCATGAAGCCCATCCATGTAGGGAGCCGAGAGGAGGAACTGTTGGAGAACTGGAGGGCGATTTTGGGCATGGGCATTTTGGAGACGGAGTGCGGGCGTCCGCTCTTCTCCACCTACTTTGGACTTTGGAGGAAATGCTACTTCCAGGGAATGGACGGGGATATTGACAAACTCATTTTTAAGGGTAAGACCTGGGTGGAAAGTTCATTTAAACGCAAAAAAAAACCCTCCACAGAGCACAAATGTTTGCTTAGTTCTGGCTAGCAGAGAACCGGTTCTGTTTTTTTATACTAGCCATGCTACCAGAGACGAACAATATTGATGAAGTTCAGTTCTGTTAGGGTTCTCAAATCTGTATTCTTTCTACAGTTACAATAACCCGACAGTGTTTTCTGCATTGAATCTACAGCGCGAACAAACACGCGCGACTAGTGTTATCCGACTCTCGAACGCATGACTCTTATGAGTCGGTTCCTTTTAGTTGAATCAAAACATACAGCGGCACTAGTGTGGTTCGATTCCTGAACGAATGATTCTAATGAGCCGTTTCTTGAAACAGACAGCGCGACCACAGAAGTCAAATTACCGAACAAATGATTCTTATGAGCTGGTTCTTTTCAGCGAACCAGAACACGCAATTAGCTTTAATCCGAAATTGTTACTCAAGAATCGTGACACGTTTAAATCAGTGCAGTCAGCTTCTGACTGGTTATTTAGCGTATTATAACATGCATTTAAAAAGATGCACTATCTGAATCTTATTGTGACTAGTAGGCGAGTGCATTGATAATTATTATTATTATTATTTTTTTTATAAAATGTTAAGATTGCATTGCATAATTATGCCGCGCTATAAAGAGAAAAGCAGAATGAATAGAAAAAAGTGTTTGGTAAACAGACGAAATTATCTCATCATTCCAAGTAGATTTCGTTGGTTAATATTAAGTGATCGAATTGCCATCGTTAGTTCTAACTTCTGGCTGTGTGATAGACGCTTTTGAGTGTGCAGGCTTTGTATTTGTGAATGATGATGATAATGATGATGATGGTCTGCATGGTGTGTTGCGTCAAAAACATAGGTGAGTGTGGATGAATATAGCCGCTTATGCATAATCGTTTCCTGGAAGAAATATCGATTTAATCCTTTTTGTTCTGACACTTATCCAAATTTAAGCTTAATGGACTTTTTGCTGACACTATGCCTGACATTTTTTGTCTCTCTCTCTCTTGACCTGTTTATTTTACTGCAAAGGCACTTTCTGCAAATCAATTGCATGCATGATAGATCTCAACAGAACAAAACTTTATTAAATTGCCAATCAAGCCAGCTGTTTCGCAAAAGTTTCCTTTGAAAGAGATGAAAGTCTCAAGGTGAAAAAAGCACAGGAAATGAGTGATGATGATTCATAGTCAAAACAGATTAAAGAGATCTGATCATGTCAAGATTAAAAGCGGAAGCTGTGTGCCACCTTACATCCAAATCAAGCCCAAAGCCACAGATCACTTGACCTTCAGCACCCATGCTTTGATTTGTGCCACAGTCTATTACTGTGAGTCCCCGAATCAGCCCATCAAAGAAGAAAGGCACTCGAAGAGCTTCTCATCAGATCACAATGCCAACCGGAAGATCAAAATTCCATTTATTTCTGCTCCTCATTTGTGACTTGATGTTTGATGTTAGTGATATTTATGTATCAGTAGGAGTAGGCTACACTTTATTATAAAATAATTATTATTCCATTTCATTATTAGTACTATGATTACAACCCATACAGATCAGCATTTTTAATATAGGCCTACTGTATTTTTTAATTATGTAAAAATATTTATAGGCATATATGCAAAAAAAAAAATATATATATATAGCCAACTGTATATATATATATATATATATTATAAGATGGCTTGTTTAATATATGCTAGAACAAAGAGATGCAAATGTATTTTACATGGTTCTAACATATTGTTCTAATAATATGTGTGTATATACACAAATATACATTTAAATGTATTCAAATTTAAATTAATTGTTATTTTAAAAAATCTTTATTCTATAAAAATATATTGTATGTAGCCTATGTACTATATATGTGTGTGTTTTAAAAATATATATCTCAAAATGTTTTATTAGCTAGAAAGTGCAGTTTGTGAGAGCAGTCTCTAAAATAAATCTCTGACATTTAAAAAAACCTTATAAGTAATCACGATAGGCAAAGTCGTGGGAAACTGGTCAACAGGTTGGAAATATAGTTTTAGTATTCATATAAGTACATGGCTGCAACTTAATTTCACTGTGAGAAAACCTACAGAGTTGAATTCATCAGTGAATACAGAAGTGCACATCTAGCCTTTTTTCGAGGGTTCTCACTGGCTTGGCTCTGAATTAAATGTAGTCAGTTCAGAGAAAACTCATTTCAATTTCACCCACACGTTTTGAAGAAACTGATCGGAACTAGCCAGACTGAATTCATTTTTCAAGTGTCATGTCTGACCATAACCCAGACAGTGTCTTTTTACTTTACTATGCATCTCAGGCTCGCTGCATGATTACTGCAGTCTTTACTCAGCTCCCAACGCCTGCCAAATCTGTGGGGTATGGTGTGAACCCAGGCGGAAATAATGACAGAAGGTCACTCTGTTGGGGAGGCGGTGTTTCAGCAGTGCTTGGCTCTATACTTGTTCTTGGCCCAGTGCTGGAACGTCCAGGGAAAGACAAACAAAACCAATAAAGTATAGCAGAGATTAGTGCACTGCAAGGATTTTAAGCTGAAGCAAGAAGGTGTTTCTTATGTTATGACCAACTAGTATCACATGCCAGAAGATTTGGGAGGGATTTCATTGGTAAAATCTTTACAAAGCTGCATCTGAAGGGCAGAATTTGTCCTAAACGAGTGTGTGATCCCTGTGCAGGTATTGCAGAACGATGCACATCTGTCAAGTACCATTTCTCCCAACCCATTAGACTCAGGAACATCCCTCTCAACCTGACAAGGACCATACAGCAGGACGAGTGGCACCTCTTACGTAAGTCTCCCAAAGCTTCCTCACTGCCTTGTGTAGCTCTTGATATGCGCTGAATGTTAAGCAGTGCATGCAAGCTGAAGTTAAGTGTGCTTTGCATAGTGAAAACTGTGCAGTGCAATACTATGTAAAAATACCGAAGGATGATGGGAAGGACGCCTGCCGTGGAAGTATTTAATCTGACAGTGATTTGATTATGATTCTTTACTAAATTCAGTTACATTTATTTATATTGTGCTTATTGTCAATGCACATTGTATACAGTAAGCTGTACTGAACTGGAGGACCATACTGAGGATCTGGATTTGAACAAGTAAAAATAGATAAAACAATTTATTTGACAGGAAATTAACATGTTATTTGGTATTAGCACACTGTAAAAAGTGATCAGTTGACTTAACTTAAAAAATTGAGGAAACCCGTTGCCTTAAAATGATTCTGTAATAAACTTCAGGCGAAATTGAAAAAATTAAGTTATGTGAACTTAGGAAAAACGCCTAAGGAAAAATGTCTTAAATTATTACATTATACTTCCATGTTTAACGGGGTTTTTTTTTCTAGTGATAAAGTAGGCTATGTTTAATTCATAACATTTAATCAAAATAAAAAATTCATTAAATCAAAATTAATTAAAATCCGCGTAAAATGATCCCATGATGGGAACGATTCTGAAACGCCTGACAGAATAGAACCTTTTCTTCTAAAACTGATTACGTTTTCTTTTTTACCCATAAAACATAAAACTTTGGTGTATTTATTTAAATGTACAAGTCTTTCTGTTCTGGAAAAACTGCCCAAAAACCAATGAAATGCTCTCAACCAATCAAATGCTCTCTAGAATGCCATCAGTTAGCAATAGCAAATAGGGGTTCACAAGTGTGACTTTAACTAAAGGTACTGGCTATTGTAAAAAAAAAGGGTCAAGCCCTTAAATTATACATGCCATTGGGTGCTATTGTTCCTTTCCACAATAAGAACACAGCTTATGTGTTTTGTGCTAATGCGGTTATTGCGTTTCCTGCCATTGATATGCAATCATAACCTTTTCTTGCATCTCCATGATAAGATTATGTGCCCCACGGTACTGTTTTGTGTACACAAACTTGGTCAAATGTAATTTTCTGTAGGAATGAATGTAATTAGCTCTTGTGATGTTGTAACGTGGCAAGTCTCAAGGGAGCTTGCAAGCCTTAATTACAGCCCTCGTTAAAATGCCTCCTAATTAAGCTTCTCTTCCTCCATGCATGAGTCCCAATCAGATTCTATAATGTGATTTAATGTGATATACCTCCAAATTAAACTTACTGAATCAATATCTGCATTGATCAGCAGCTCCAAAACTTTGCATGGAACCAGAAGCGACTGAGCCCACACAGCTCAGTGAAAGTTCCTAATAATAAGGTGTTACCCATAGCTATATAGTGTGAGTTGTTGGCTAAGTGGGTGGTAGTCATAGAAACAGTGTGTTTTTCTGTGGTGTTCAGATCTGCGGCGCATCACGGCAGGGTTCTTGGGCATGGCTGCTGCCGTAATGCTGTGTGGAAGCATTGTGGCCGCCGTGGGATTTTTCTGGGAGGAAAGCCTCACCCAGCATGTGTCTGGACTCCTGTTCCTCATGGCAGGTACACAACTCTGCTTATTCGGACTTATTATCTAACTTTCTCCTCTTTTTCCTTGGCTACTTGTTACTCGTTTCGCCAAGTCGCACGCTTTCTCGTAGGTGGTTCTCTTTCCTTTCCAAGTTGTTGTCTACCTTGTTCATTCTCCCACGTCTCTCCTTCTGTCTTATTTCCCTTGTCTTGTTGCTATATATATATATATGTGTGTGTGTGTGTGTGTGTGTGTGTGTGTGTGTGTGTGAGCAAGACGAGAAATATATATATCATGTATATATGTATATATTATATGTATATATTTGTAGTTGGGATTTTTCGGTGACGCTTTCCGCAGGTCACATCCTTACACCAGTAGGTGGCGGTAAATTAATGTTTTGTAAGTGAATTTCAACTGATTCGTTCAAAACCTTTTCAGGAATTCAGAATCAGGAAGGAATTCAGTAAGTGTCTGGCTGCATCCAAAACAGGCATACTGTCTTGAATAAGTAATTACTTTGTGACACATTCAATGAGCACTTTACTATCCCATGACGCCACAGGAGATGATTTGGCAGGAAGAGGATGAATAGCAGTGAAGCGACGCAACTGACGCTGGTCATGTGACAGTAACAACATGGCGGATAGTGCACTGCGTCCAAAATTGCGTACTGTCTTACTACATTTAAATTTTCTTTGCGACTGTTAAAAAGTACGCTCTATAATATGTAGTATGAATATCGGTAAAATTGATGAAATTTGGACGTACTACATCCGCTAGGGGTGTAACGGTACACAGAAATCACGGTTCGGTACGTACCTCGGTTTTAAAGTCACGGTTCGGTACGTTTTCGATACAGCAAAAAGAAAGAAATGCCAGAGAAATTTCTTATTTGTTAAAAGAAAAAATATTTTTTCCTACATCTTGAAACTTTCAGGTTTATAAATGGGGGTCATCTTTGAAGGATGAACAAATAATGTTTTGGTCATCACATTAAAAATAACATTTAAATATATATATATATATATTTATTTATATATTATTTGAGTTTTGAAGAGCTGGAAAAAGATGTGTGAAGTACTTGAAAGCAGTTCACTATTCCAGCCAAACTGGTTACAGTTAGTGTTAGCCTACTATATTAAATCCATGGTGAATGTTGCTGGTCTGTGGACGTAAAGTATTACTAGTTCATTCACGGCACAATGTTTCTCCTGGTTTCCACGTCAGCGCTGTTTGATCTAGAGATCTACGGTTAATAACGGAGAAATGTGAATGCTTCTCACTAGATCTCGCAGCGATGTTATTACTTCAGTGGCGAATTCAAATGTTTTCTTTACTGGATCTCTTAGCGCTGTGTTGTTACAGTGTCACTTGATCGAGATCGGCTCGCGCTGCACAGATGTTGCTGGTCAAACGATCCGTGAAGCACAATATAATGAGTAGCGCAGTTTCGTTCCGCTTTCATTACGTTTGCCATTTGATGATGCGCAACGTTGTGGTGATCGCGCCAGCGCGAATTTTGTCGGCAAGAAAAATGGTCCAAGGAATCGTTCGGTTTGTATGCGAACCGAACCGGAAGCCTCGAACCGAAACGGTTCAATACGAATACATGTACCGTTACACCCCTAACATCCGCCATGTTGTTACTGTCACGTGAACAACCAGCGTCAGTTGCATCGCTTCACTTCCATTCATAAATCCCCTCCCGCGGCCTCACAGGATAGTAAAGTGTCCATGAATGTGCACTTCAGAATCTCGCCGTAAGTAATAAGTTATTCAGGGACTTTTCGTCTGTTTTTCGAATATGTATTCAGATAAACTACACTTTTGGCGTACTGTTTTATACATACTATATAGTAGGGATGTATTCGGTTTTGGACGCAGCGTCATTCTACCTATATTCATAATATATAGAACATCCTTTTTTAATAATACTAGACAGTATGCAATTTCAGATTCACAACATTTATTGCATGAATGTTTGAAGTATGAATGAAATCTGGACGTAATACATTCGTCATGTTATCATTGTCATGTGACCGACAGCGTCAGTTGTGTCGCTTCACTGCCATTCACAACTTATGTTCAGTGGCCTCATAGTGTTCATTAGCCTGTCATACAGTAGGGAATATGCATATTTTGATGCAGTTCCTATCTTTTCGAGCAAGTCAATTAATCATTCATTCAACTGATTCCTTCAGAAATGTGTCCATAGCCTTGTGGACATCTGACATACAGTGCAGCGGTCCCATCTTGAGGTCCTTTCCTGTTCCTGTTCCCCTCTCTCCTCCCATTGCTTCCTGTCTCCTCTACACTGTTCTATCTCATAAATGCAAAAAAGGGGCCAAAAACATAACTTTTTGGAAAAGCAGACTCAAAAAAGCATGTCTAAATTTCAAAACTCGCTGTCTAAATACAGTATGCCTGCTTCCATACTAATACTAGTATAAAAAAAAAAAAAAAAAGAGTAGTATGTCCGAATTTATAGTATTCGAAAAACAGTAGGTTAAAAGTACCCGGATGACCTACTACTTCAGCTGAGATGGCAGTGAAGTGACACAATGCTGGTAGGTCATGTGACAGTGACAATATGGCGGATATAGTACTACGTACAAATTTCATTCATACTACCCATATTCATACTATAGGCCTATAGAATATACTTTTTTTATTGGTCGCGAAGTAAGTTTTGAAACCAAATGTAGTATGCAATATCGGACGCAGCAACTGTCTTTATAAGCGAGTCAATGAATCGTTCACTCAAACGATTCGTTCAGAAATGCTGATTTATTCAGGAATTATTCAATTAAATTGACTGATTTGTTCAAAAACATACAGGAAAAAATACAGCTACTTTGCGTTTAATCTATCTATCTATCTATCTATCTATCTATCTATCTATCTATCTATCTATCTATCTATCTATCTATCTATCTATTCATCTATTTATCTATCTATCTATCCATCTATCTATCTATCCATCTATCCATCAACTAAAACCAATAATCATTTTTACGTTACAACAATAAGAAATTGTTAACTGATTGATTAGAAAAATCACTTAAACAAACAACCCTCATGGGCTATCACTGCATTACATAAATACACAATAATTCCTCCACTTTTTATATCACATGAGGTGAAGAGTTCAGATGTTTTTTTCTTCTCATGTGTTGGATCAGTAACCTCAAAGGTTCTTCTTTCCCACAGGAATCTTTTGCACAATCTCACTGTGCACCTACGCAGCCAGTGTCTCATACGACCTATCCAGGAACCCTCCTTTCATCTACGGTCTGCCCGGTGACGTAGACCACGGGTACGGATGGTCCATCTTCTGTGCATGGGTCAGTCTGGGCCTAACAGTGGCGTCAGGCTGTATCTGCACAACTTATCCCTTCTTGAGCCGCACAAAGGCTCTTCGCTCCAAAACGGCACGGGAGTCATCTGTATGAGCGCCCCCTGTGGCCCGGAGGACTCAGCAAAACATTAATCAGCACTTGGCGCTTTAGGAAAACAGATTCAAGTGGGACTTCATGCTGTATGGAGCAGTTTTGAATGTCTTGTAGATTTCTGATCCCTGCTCTTTTGAGATGTGTTGATGTTATACGAGAACGAAAGACGTTGGATTTCCTGTGTGTCTTCTACACACAACTGCTTACAAATCTCACACACATAAAAAAAGAAAGAAAAATACACACAAATATACAGTATGTGTGAATATAATGAACAAAACCTTTGATTTGAAATGGGTATGTGTATGTTTTTGGGTTGTTGTGATGCAGTCATTCTCTGGATCAGGTGACACATTAGGATCTGAGCCACAATTTTTTATGCAAACCATCTGAAATTCAAATGATTGCTCTGATCATGCTCAGTATTCTTTTTTTATTATGTGATTAAAGCATATGTTTTGGTTTCCCAGCCACGTGCAAATGGATACAAGGCGACTAACCATTGGCTCAAAAAAACTAAAGCTGACATTTCAAATTAAAAAACAGCTAAAGAATTCAATCAGGGATGAACAGGACGCTTCATGTCACCAATGTCACCACATCAGACAAATGTATAAAGGCATGATTGCATTATAGCCTATATCACCTTTGGGTAACAGCTGGTGGCCGATATTCAAAAAGATTGAAAAATCAAAGAGACGCGAGAAGTCTTGAGATCTAAGATGTGGATATGCAATTTCGTGATTGGATGAAATGTTTCTGAAGATTCCGAACTTGAACGCAATCGTAATATGGCAGCATGCTTAAAGTGGATGCTCTCGAATACCAGCCTCCTCATGAAAGGCCTCTCGTGACGTCACGTCATTGCTGAAAACACAAATCCTTCAGTTCTACGAAGCAACGCTAATATGAAGCGACGAGGAGCAAATTAACTGCAGGATGTTGTTTTCCAAACTGAGCCAAAAACAGTAACATATCCCTGAAACTGTACTGTTTGCCTCAAAACTTCTACTGTGTTTCTGAAAGTGTATTGTAAATAAAATATTATAATGATGAAATAAAGGTCTATGAAGAAACCAAACTGTTTCGAGTGAACTTCAGCATTATTTCGGCTTGTTATAGCTGTTATTTTTGTCAGACATATGGCGACTCGTTTTAAGCAGTGCCAGCATGTTTTCTGCTTTCTCTTTTTTCAAGAAGAATACTAGGCCACCTGTGCAGAAATATTAAAGAATGCCATAAATTTCACCTCACATAGCTATTGGCTATGATGTTTTAATCAAGAAAAGCAGTTTATAATTAGCAAAACTGAAGCTAAAAATGTGTTTTGACAATTTTGACACGCAATTTTCCCATTAACTTTTATATTGAGTGCCATGGTCCTGTATATATATATAATTTTATTTTACTTTAATTTATTTTTATTTGAGTTTTAGTCATTTTAGTACTTCATTTCAAGCCTTTCATCTAATATTTATGTTGAAAATGTTCTAGTTATGCTCAGCTCAAAATTATTGGGCTAAATGTATAAAATGTACTAAATGCTCTTTGTGAGTAAAAAAATCTCTATTTATTTAAAATCCCAGTATCACCATTAATGAAACTTGAATGGTCAAAATGTGTGGCAGCCCTGTTTATGAAAATGAAGCATTGGTAAAGAATCATTTTCATTATTAAAAAAATGGATATGCACTGTAAATATAAAGTAATGACAAAATATGTTTTTACATTTAACTTTTTTTTAAGTCTGTTTAATGTAATTTAAGTTGAAATTACTTAAAAATCCAAGTTGATTGTACTTTTTTTTTACAGTGTGCTGGATTTGTTTTTTTGTCTTTCAATTATTCTGCCACAAGGGGGCGCCATATTATCATCAATATACAAGTTTTTTTTTTCTTTTTTTTTAATGAGGTACTTAAGTTTATTTTGTTGTGGTGGGGAAGAGGGTGGTAACATATTGTGCATTACCTTCTGTCAAGTAGGCTATGCCACAAAAAACAAAAAAGGACAAAACTCAAATTGTTGAAACCATAAACAATGTCCCAAATAAAAAGATTGTATTATCATATAGATGACATTAATCAAAATGAAACTTACAGGTATCGAGCACTCGCACAAGCGAGGGAAAACTACTTCAACATATCAGCGAAATGTACTGTAAATGAGGCTGGGGGTCGAGTGAACCGTGCTGGAGTAGATAGTGCCATCACCCGTGTGTGTGTGTGTGTGTGTGTGCCAGCGCAGTGATATGGCCTGACCAACAACAAAAAAAACAGTGAATTTTTTTTTTTACCAGTGCACTCGTGTCCTCAAATGGGTAAAATTAGTCATATATCCTGCATTTTCTATTAGAAGATTGAACACTATATACAATAAATTCATATTCCCAGTGTCTCAGTTGACTTTCTATCATACATGTGTTGTACTGTGATTTACAACCCCCAAAAAAATACAGCCTTTTCTTCATAAAGGGAGAAGTCACAAAAAACAGGAGAGATAACATGCATTCCTCATATAGTAGTATTAAAAAGAATTAAAACAGATTCTGAACTTGCTTTTGTACAAAGTATTTTCTCACAGATCTTTTTGACTTTTTGACTAGACAGACAATAAGATTTGATTGTATGAACTAAAACTACTGATACCTGCACTAGAAACGTATGGAAACGTCTCAGAGTTCATGAAAAAAAAAAAAAACATAATATACAAGTTCGGACACACACAAAATATTGCAATACATTTAATATTATTTCCAACTGTCCTCAGTAACTGGCTCCTATATGAAAGTCTGTGGAGTTGAGCTGAGAGACACTGTCCCATGTAACCAGGCTGGAAGGTGGCACAGTGTTTTTCTCTATATCTATTTTAGGTTACTTGAAAACATTGAACTCACTGAATTATGTAAATTTCAAATAAAATCAAGTCAAAGGCTTATAATACTCACAAATCCACACCTTTATGCATTAAAATCTGAAGGGAAAAAAAAAGTCTCTTGACATCATTCGTTGTTTAAAAAACCTGTTTAAAGGTCAAAAAAGTGTTCATTGCAGATATGCACTATTTTCATCTTTAACCACAGATATTGAGTTTGTGTACACAATGATTTCTGCTTATTGAACTGCAAAATGTTTCAAGTATATGAATGAGATTTAAAATGACAGTGATTGCGTGATCACTGGATCCAGAGTAACAAATTGTTACTCAAAGGTCATTCGTTTTTGTACCATTTTGCCAAATGACATCTTGGATGCCATTGGAATTTTAGACGTCATTTGAATCAAATTGAATCTGCTGTTGTCATATACAGATTTCAGTCTAAAGGCCCATTCACACCAAGGACGACAACTGTAACAATAACGATACAAATATAGTTATAATTATATTTTTATAAATGTAAAAGAATAGCAGAGCCCACACCACAACTATAACGGCACAGAGAAACAATATGGTTGGAATCACTTTCATTTTTTTCCCACTGTAAAAATAAAAAAGTTGGTTTAACTTAAAAAAGTAAGTTACCTAGTTGCCTAAAAAATTTGAGTTCATTGAAATAATTATTTTTAGTTAATACAATGAAGATTGGTTTAATAAATAGAAACTAACAATATTATGTTATCTGAACCACATTAATTGTCTAAGTTGATTTGACAAAAGATAAAAAGTTGTGATAACAAATCAAGAAAACAATTTTTTACCGTGCAGCTGATGAACGATAAAAACATTGACAGCCAATCCGAATCCTTCTTGCTCCTAAGAGCTCGATTTAAAGCAGCAGACGACAAACCCGCAGCACGAGCTTAGAATAAACAGAACGATATCGTCCGCTGGTGTAGACACTAATATAGTTATCTTTATTGGTGTGAAAGGGCCTTAAAGCTTAATCAGTCAACCAAATCAATAACATTTCCATAAGTTTTTCTTAAAATCTTTACAGCTTTGTAAAAAAAAAAAAAAGATGTACATTTTTAAAAAGCTTTAGAAAGCCCCTTTAGTCCGTGCTTTCTTCTTTGAAGACTAGAATAACCTCGACAGCAGAAACACACGTGTATTCAAACACATACAAAACATACAGTGGATAACACAACAACGCACAATAAAACACCTGCAATCCTCCGCGGATGCTTTGAACCCCTTTTTTGAACCCTTTCCTCCTGTTTACGAGGATTTTAACGCCGGACTCCTGTCTGCGCATCATCTCGTGCCTGATTTAGAAACCCTTGATGATGCAATAGGCCTCCATGGAGGACAAGATGATGTACATCAGCCAGAGACTGAAAAACAACGTTGTGGTCAGGATTTTGGGAGTCCGCGGGCCACCAAGTTCCCCCCCGATCTCGGGCCTGCGGCGGTACATGAGGACGGCGACACAGATGAAGGCAAAGATGGTGAAAAGGGTGACGGAGAACGCCAGCGTGCCGGGCTGCACGCGGAAGTACTCGCCCTTTGCCTGGTGGTATACGGCAGCGATGGACCAGGCCACTCCGATGCCCAGGAACACGTTCACAGCATTGCTGCCCGTCACATTGCCGATGGAGGCGTCAGCGTACTGATCCTGGGTGGCTGCCACTTTACTGGCGAATGTGTCTGATTTTGAAGAGGTGGTGAGAGAAAGACAGAAAGGAATAAATATTGTCAAGCTGCAAAAACAGCTCCGTCAATAAATGGGTGAATCTTATGAAACTTGTAAAGAACATGTCCAGTTCATATTTGGGCTGGAAATCCAAATAAGGAAATAAGAAATCAGTTTGTGTAAAGGAAGTTAAACTTATTTTTAGGACCATTAAGCATTGTGACAATATTTTCAAGACATTTAAGCACATTTTCTTCCAAATTCTCATTGTAGCCTAATAAAAAATGCAAAAATGCTAGATGATCGCATGCATATCTAATCGCATGATATATAATTTATTACTATATAAAGGGTTTATTTGAATAATTATTATTGTAAAGTACTTTTTGTTACCATTAAATTATGCTGATTTAAATATACATGACCAATTCAAAATATTCTTTTCTTTTATGTTTTTGAAAGAAGTCTCTGATGAATTTATTTGATTAAAAAGTAAAAACTTGCAATTTAAAATAACTCTTTCTATTTAATATATTTTAACATGGAATTTATTCCTGTGATGGTAATGCTGAATTTTCAGTGTCACATGATCCTTCAGAAATCGTTCTAATATGCTGATTTGGTGCTCAAGTAACATTTCTTATTATTTATGATGAAAATAGTTGTGCTGCTTAATATTTTTGTGGAAACTGCGATGCCAAGTAACTGCTTGTGTTGCTATTTTCTTCCTATTCGTTTATAATTAGGCCTGTCAAATGATTAATCACGATTAATCACATCCAAAATAAACGTTTTTTTTTACATAATATATGTGGGTGCACTGTGTATAATTATTTTGTATATATATAAATACACACACATGCATGTATATTTAAGAAAAAAGATATTATTTATATATAAAATATTTATATATAATATAAATTATATATAAATCTATATACAGTATATACATGAAAATATTTCTTAAATATATACAAGCATGTGTGTGTATTTATATATATAAAATAATTATACACAGTGCACCCACATACAGTATATTATGTAAAAAAAACTTTTATTTTGGATGTGATTAATCACGATTAATCATTTGACAGCCCTATTTATAATACATTGTTTAAAATGTTATATTCATTTTTATTTTGTACTTTTTATTGAACATTTTTCTTATGCATCTGTCAATCATTTTCGGAATATGTTTATTTATTTTATTTTATGTAATATAAATTATATACATACAGTATAGACAGACAGACAATAGATTGAACGATAGAAGGATAGATAGATAGATAACATTTGGGGGAAAATGTGCTTAGTTGTAAATTAATCTTATAATTCATTTGATTTTGGAGTGAAATGTGACATGCTTTCAAAGAGAAAATCTGCAGTACCTGGTACAGAGGTTCCCAGCGCCACAAACACAACCGCAGTTACAGAGTCCTTCAGGCCAATAGTGCATCCAAAATGGGATGCAATGTCTCCAATGAATGCAGTGAGGACACCAATCATCATGATGGACACGATGAAACACGCCCAGCCGTTCCAGTAATCAGTGGGCGGCACGAACGCAAACAGAACCTTCCAGAACACAGTCAAGAAGTGCATGACGTAGTCAAAGCAAGATGGCATCTTTTCTTCCCCACACTCGTCATCATCATCTGCCCCTTAGGATGAGAAAAAGGAGAGGAGATTTGAATCATGGATTGGTTGGTTTGTTTCCTGTGAAGAGACAGGCTGTCCTCTTCCTCTTGGGAACATCAGTGTGTGATAAGCATATCGCTGTAACACAAAATAGCCAAAACCAATCAAATCTCTTAAATCAGAGAAGGCAGAATGAAGCTCAGAGGACTGGAAGTGCAATACTATCGTGTTAAGCCAAATATCACACCTAAAAATCTTAGTCACCATGAAATCAAAATGGACAATTCTTATTTTTTATGGAATATTACTGTATTTATTTTAATTGATTTACAGTATATGTGCAGTGTGCACTTTTTTTTTAAAATCATGTGCCCTCATAATCTTTATTAATTTAAATAACTTCCCCTCCCTCTGTCAGCCGCATCTCTTGATGATGATGTGTTCACCAGAAGAAGAGCGGGACAAGCTGTCACTCGCATGAGATCGCAGCAACAGCAAACCACAACCATCCAATCAATTACCGAAGGAAAAAGTCCTGGCCTGCATTTTTCTTGCTCAAGAAACCGTTTCAGCCCAGCTAATGCCAGGTAACTGTTTGAACAATGAAGCTAGGAATAATAAGAGGCAGTGCAATATTGTGAATGTAAAAGGCAATGTTAAGCACATCACTCAACGGTTAGTCAACATTTACACTGGCCCTGGCACACACAAAAAAACATGATGATCATTTTAATTAATTATTAAATATATAAAAAACATAATAATCATTATTTAAATTTATAATCCAATATTTACATTTATTTAACATATATACATGTATTTTTCTACATTTACATTTATAAAAAAAATGCATTTTTATAATTTAAAAAATAGATTTAGAATTTGCGAATTTTAAGACAATTATTTATTATTTTAAATTTATTTACAGTTTTTTAATATTTAAGAATATATTACTATTATATATATTTTTTGCACCCTAAAAATGAAATTTTTACTATTAATATTATAATTATATATATTTTTTTTGTTAAGGTGTGCAAGAATTTAGGTAAAAGAGCACCTCTGTCTTTAATGAGAAAAAATATCAATGATTCTTTTACATAATACAGTGTCATCATGACAAAGAAAGTTCATTTTGATTCACAACTGGAGCACTGCAGTGCAACCCTCTATAAACCGCCTAATGTCTAATTATGAGATATATTCCCCAGGAATTTAGATTATGATCTCCCTCCCTGTCTCTCTCTTCTCATGTCTCAGGCTGCACTAACAAGCTCTGTCAGCTTCAGTCAAGCCTGTCAGAATGAGTGTTTGTGTGTGCGTCTGACTGCATGTGCGTGTGTGGCAAAAGACAGAGTCCCAGAGCTTTGGTTTCCTTATTAATACGCTGTGCTACATGACGAAAGACACTTCAAAAACTGTGCGGACGGAGGGTGAAAGCAAAAGGCCTTGACATTTTAGAGAGACTGGCGCTGGCTTGTGTTTGGTCATGCTCACAATAAGCTTGACTGATGGTAGGAGAATTCTGGGTAAAAAGACAAAACCATAAGAAACACATTGATGTCTTTTTCCCTGTTAAAGACAGAGTTGCTCTCAAAAACACACAACTTTGGCACACCTAAACTTAACATTTGTTGGCAAAGAATATTTGATATGGTGTGGAAAATCTGTAATATTAAATAATAATACTTATTAAAGTAAGTAAGAATGTAATATTTTAACATAATAGTTTATGTTTTTTTTGTGCTGGAACTAATGTTGAAATGTTGACTAACCATTGATTGATGTGTGAAACAACGCCCATGAAATTCACAATACAGAATCGCCTTCTATTGTTCCTGTATCTTTTCACAGTCTAAGAGTATGAAATTCAATAACAATTTTTATCCAAATTTGTGGATGTGAAAAAAATATCTACGATACACATTCGCATCCCATTTTACTTTCATACTGTGACATGTTTCCAAAAAAAAAAAAAAAAAAAGTCTTGATTTTAACCACTGTGTTTTAATTAGATTATGACAGAGGAGGAGTTAAAAAATATGAGACCTTGGTAAGATTACAGTTAAAAGATTATGAAGACAGACAGAATTGATCGAGACATTATTCGCTACTAAATTAAAAAATGAAGATGCCAAACTGGTTCTAGGTAACTCCAACTTAATACTGAGAGCTGTCTGCCCAGGATGAGAAAGCAAATTATGATTATATCTTCTCTCTCAGACACCACTATGATTGACACTCTGGAGTGTGTTTAATTGATGAAAAACACACACGCATTTCTCTCTGGCTACAGACAGGCATTCAGCTCCAAAACATTTTAAATTGCAATAGTGCGCTGATTAAAGATATGTTGCAAAGTTAGCGCAGTCATTGAGCAGCGATTAGGACAAGCCTTTCAGAGATGAAGCAACAAAATAACCTTGTTTTCTAGCATTCTGACTGTCAGATCCGTCAAGTCAAGTCTGCAGGGGACTGTGTAAAGGTTGTTTTTAAAGTATGTAGAGACTTAATGGTAAAACGTGGCAGCATTTTCTCAGTGACCTACCTGAGCTGACAGTGATGGCTTCTACAAACTGGTCTCTCCAACTGTTGGTTCCAATCAAAAGGGCCAAGTTGGTTTTCTTTATGAGTTTGTCGACTGTGCTCTGGTGGGTTCAAATCATTACAACTAGGTTAACAATATTAAAAGGTTTAATGGTTACAGTTGACAACAATGTCTCATTTATTAACATTAGTTTACATGAACTAACAATGAAAAAATGTATTAATCTTAGTCGATGTTAATTTCAACATTTACCAATACATTTAGATAATTAAAAGTTGTATTTGTTTTTATTAATGCTTTATTGAGTAGCTGTGAACTAACACGAACAAACAAAGAACAATTGTTTATTCATAAATTCCCATATATATTACCATTATGTAAAAAAAAAAAAGTCAATTTATCTTCGCTACTTCATTTCAGTTAATACATTAACTGATGTAAACAAAAGATTGTAAAGTGTTACCAGTTAATTAGCCCAAATTGATAAGTCCATCACCCTCATGTCCCAAACCTGTATGACTTTCTTTCTTCCATGAAACGCAAAAGGAGAAACTTTAAAGAATGACATCACTGCTTTTTTTTTTTTGCATACAATGAAAGCAGTTCAGTATGGAAGCATGTTTCCGCCACAGAATAAAAAATAAAAAAGGTAATTGCGACTTTTTATTTCACAATTCTGACCTTTTTTTTCTCTCACAATTGCGAGGTTTTACATCTCACGATTCTGAGAATTGTGAGTTGGAATTCTAAGGCCGTGTGTCCACCAAAGCGTTTTTAGCCGGCTGAAAACGCTAGACGCTCTGCTGAAGACGCCTAGCTTTGGGCGCTTGAAAGCGTTTTGGCAGCGCAGCGTTTTTTCCGTTGAGACGTTTCGTTGCTATGATACAGAATATCCGCAGCACAGTTAACTTGTAACTTATTTCGCAGATAATTTGTTTCATACTAAAAATAATTTTTTCCATTTTGTTCGGTTAGCTCTGCTGGTTGATGTCATTGTACAGAAAGAATGTTGTGACAGTTGCTCGGTGTGGTATTAGCCCCGCCCCTCCTCCACTGTGATTGGACGGCTGGGTAAAAAGTGACAGTGATGAGCGCTGCGTTTTATCCAAAGTTGAACATTTTTCAACTCTCGGCGACCAGTAAAAACGCAGAGCTCTCAGCGCTTCAGCATGAAAAAAACGTTCAGCACCTCGTTACGCTCATGGCGTTCTAAAAACACGGCGCTCCCATTGAAAACAATTGAAAACGTACGCCAGGCGCGTGGAAAAACGCTTTGGTGGACACACGGCCTAAAGTTGTGTTATTTGTGTTATAAAGTCAGAATTGTGATATAAACTCGGAAGTAATTCTGACTTTTTTCTCAGAATTGCATGTTTATATCTCGCAATTCTGACTTTATAAAACGCAATTGGGAGATAAAAAGTCAGAATTGCATGATATAAAGTTGCAATTGTGAGATAAAAAGTCGCAATTATCTTTTAAAATGTTTTATTCTGTGGCAGAAACAAGCTTCCATAGATCAGGAAAGTTCATAAAAGTATCCTAAAAGTGGTAAAAGACCTGAAATATATACTGCATTAGTCATATGAACTACTTTTATTAGATTTTTATAGTGCTGCTTTTGTATTATTTTTGGTGCTTGGCAGCGTCCACCGTCCACCTCATTCACTTAATTTTTTTTGGGGGGAAAAGCAGCGTGAACATTCTTCCTAACATCTCCTTTTGTGTTTTACAGGAGAAAGAACATCATATGGCTTTATAATGACATGAGGTTGAGTAAATGATGACAGAATTTTCATTTGTGGTTATTCCTTTCAGATACTTCTTTAAGATATCACAAACTAAATAACAGCCTAAAGGGCATTAAAACAAAAAATCCCTCAATCGATAATTCAGCAGATTTCTCAGATTAGAAGATAAAAAGATTTCCAATAAAGGGTTTCCTGTAGTGCAGCCAGCGAAAAACCTGCCAGCTTGAACACAAAAATCGTATCCATTACAGCACAGCGAAACCGATTTGTCAGGGCAGCATCGCTGTTCAATTATGAAGGTTATAGTCAGTATCAAACCAGCAGAACATAATTTTGTGCGATTCAATCAAATCTTCAGGATACAAGGAAATCATTTTCCTTCGAGTCAAAGCAAATTAATCTCACGGACAGGATGAAAACGAATAAACCCTCTGACGCACACAGGAGAGAACTGGAGAGGTGAATTAGAGATGGAAAAGGGACACTGTTAACATGTATAAAGCGACAGGCCCTCTGAAAGGTTACAGTAATAGCTCTCCTGTCTTCTGTATCGGAGGAGAAATTTAAGGTTGAATTGTCCACCTGGGGCTACTTCAAGATACCATCACTCATGTCCAGATGCTTGCTCATCCTCTTATTCACCTTTAAGGGCTTCTAAACCCTCATTCATGCTTAAAATGTCATCACTTGACCTTATAGTCTGTGTGAGTGTCTGAACATTGATGGGTGTTTGAATGTATTTTTCCAAGACAGATTTATCATGAGCAAAAAAAGGTACCTTAAACTCATAGGACTCCTCAATGATTACTTCAAGTTTTACATGTTCACCCAGAGTCGGGCGTCCCATCTCAGCAACACGCCTCTCATCCTTCTCTCTTTTAGTCAGGGTGTCCTCTTCCCCGTCCTCTGAGAGAGATAGACAGAGCAGAAAAAAGAGGTACAGGAAATGTGATGGAAAGGAACAAAACAAGATGGTGAGTCTTTCATGAAATGCATAAATCCATAAAGTTGTTGAGTTGATTTGGTTTGCTCACACGTGCACTCCTTATAAAACCACACTTTACAGTGGACAGATGCAGATTTGTACAATTACATCATTTGCAGGGTTTAAATAAAGTCTTAACATCTGCAATGTGAGCTATGCTATGTTTTCTTTAGAAATATGAGAATGCAATATTTCTCATATTGAGAAATATGAGAATGCTGTCAATCTGGACTTGAAGAAATGTTTGAAGGTGTAGGCCTTTTGGATGCTTTCAAAATATAACGAACAACGTTACTAATCTCCAATAATGAATGGATAACTGATAAAAGATATTTAATGGAACAGTTTGCGCAAAAAAAATAATGTTGTCACTCCCATGTTGCTCCAAACCGCTATTATTTTGATTCTTGTGTGAAACCCAGAAGGAGATTTTTGGCAGAATGTCCGAGTTTCTGTTTTCCATACAAGGAAGTGGATGAGGGGGGAAAAGGCTGGGATAAAAAAAAAAAAAAAAGGCTGGAAATACATTATGATGACATTTGTTTTTTATTTTTGGGTAAACTATTCCTTTTAAAGGGATAGTTTACTCAAAAATTAAAAGTCTGTCATCTTTTACTAAACTTACATATTAAGGTAAATAAACTCACCCTAAATTAAATTTGTTCATCATATAAAGCAATTGTAACCCTTTTACAAGACTTGGATTAAATCGCTTGGTTCATCTGGATTCATTTTACTATGCCTCTATGAACTTTTCAGATCTTCGACATTTTGGCTAGGAGGGACAGAAACCTCTCAGGTTTCATTAGAAACATCTTAATTTGTGTTTCGAATATAAACCAAAGTTTGATGGGGTTGGACATGAGGGTAAGTAAATGATGTCAGAAATGTCCTTTTTGGGTGAACTATCCCTTTAAGATACCACAATAAGACAATTCCACTAAAGTCAACCAGCATTGATTCAAAACGCTTATGGGATTAAATGCATGAATTTAGCATTAATCACTTTATTCCAAACCTGTTAAGTAAATACTATAGCTCTTGCAAGTTACACTAATGAGGAAATGAGACAGTTGAAGAACTGTTTTCATCCTCTCTATCGCTTTATCAACCAGGGTTCTGGCTCAAACATGCACACGCAATATTAGATCACACATTTATATTAGTGACACAAGGAAGAATGAATTAAAAGGAAGAGAAAGGGATGAACAGGAGAGGAAAATGGATACCTGTGATGCTGATAATGGTGGAGGGGATTGGCTTGTCTCTACCCTGCACTTTCCGGTACACATCCCTGCCTGATGAGCCCAAACACATCGACTGAACAGTGTTAGCACAGATGCTAACAGATTTACAGAGCTTTATCTATGATGGAGCACAACTAAATAAAGCTTTATAAAGCAGATTATGAAAATTTCAATTATCACTTGAGAGAACAGAGCAAATATGTAATACCTCGTTGACAGATTAATTATAGTGTGCATAGTATATAAACCCAGCAACAAAAAGAAACGTCCCCTTTTTCGGTATACTGTATTTTAAAGATAACTGTAAAATCCAAATAAGCTTTACAAATCTGTATTGGAAAGGGTTTAAACAATGTTTTCCATGCTTGTTCAATGAACCATAAATAATTATTGCACATGCACCTGTGGAACAGTCCTTAAGACGCTAACAGCGTACAGGTGGTAGACAATTAAAGTCTGTTACAATATCTTAACCCTCATCATTCCCTCGCACTTTGTAACACATCTTTCCCTCGTGGGTCAAAATGACCCGAAGCCCTAAAATTATAGTTCTTCTTTTTCTTTTTTTTTGTCCAGAAAGCTTATTTTATTTCATTTTGATAATATTTTTTCTATTTTTGAATGCAATTTTTGGGAGATTTTTTGATTTTATTTACCTTTCAATTACTAGATTTAATCAATATATAATAAATAAATTCCTCACACACATTCCTCCCATTCTTTCAACTTAAATTCAAAATAACACAATTTCATGCATGACCCTTTTAATTCAGCTCAAAATATCTTACATTGGGTGTCTTTGTCGACCTCTTGTGGAAATAAAATAATATAACATGATATTTTATGACTTTTGCCACTAGATGGCCTAATAGCTCTATTTGGAGTAAAAAAGCTGTTCCGCAGGGTCCTAAAGTCATTGAGATACACATTTAGACATTATAAAATATTTTTTTTTATATTAAAAAAAGTATTTTTAGTTTGATTTTTGAGCATTTTTAGGTTTTTCTATGTGGACTGAAGCATTCCTCGCATTCCATTGATTCCTAAGGGGGTCAAATTGAACCGCGAGGGAAGGATTTGTTACTTTTTTAAATTTCAACCACAAAACTCCTTGAATCCATTAAAAAAAATTGTGTGTATTTGTGGTTCAAGTGCGACAAACGTCATAGGGTATTGAACCCCTCTGATGAACATTAAAAAGTGGGTTTCGGGTCAAAATGACCCGAGGGAAGGATGCGAGACCTTTCTAACCCCTGTTTAACTACAGTACGTATGTGCGCCCTCAGACGTGTTTGAGAACTTGCAAGTACCTTGGTGGAAGAGTGGAGTAACATTTCAGGCCCTGTTTACACCTGGAATTAAGATGCGTTTTGGTCATCGGCTCACAAGTGATCGGATCACAATGTTCTCTCACCATTCCTGATGTCACACAAATATTTAAACTATTTGATTGGGGAAAAAAGCAGTTGAATATGAGAGGACGTTTCTTTTTTTGCTGAGTATATATTTAAAACATATAATCTCAGACCCTGATGCAAATTTGGTTTAAAGTAAATTTAATTACATTAAATAATGTTATAATATTTATATTTAATAATATTTTGTATATACTATATATTAAAATCATATAAAATAATTTATAATATATATAAATATATAATATCGCATAATTAACGATCACGCAACCTCAATGCAATGTAGGTTTATGATGCTAAACGGGGATTATTAAATTATATTTATAATTTAATATTTTTAATATATATATAATATAATTTTTTTTAACATTTTTAAAGTTACAAATAATGTAATCTCAATGAATGTATGTCATAAAAGGTCAAAAAATGGTGAAACGGGTCATGAAGGCTACAATAGTTAAGATAATGAACGCTAGATGATATAATAATTATTAGAGAACTGCTGTTTAAAACTATTTTAGATGGAGTATAACATGTCATGACTCATCAACATGACGTCAACTTCCAATGTAAAAAATCAACCACACCCTCGCCTGAATAGCATTCATTAAATTCTTCTGACTGACATACACTATGCTAGTTTACTATGCACTGTTCTCTCGGTGATGAAATTTTCCAGTTACAGACACTCCTTGGACACAATATTTAAAGTGCAAAAATGGTGTTTGAAGAATCAATGTGAGTGCTGTCACAGTTGAGCGAGTTTGACAAGACTGTTATGAAAGCAGACACGTCAGCTTAAGGCAGACTAGCTATGCATTCTCATTAGGATCCAGCCAGTTTGCCTTAGGCAATAATGCCAACGTTGTTGCCCATCACACAATGTATTTTGTGAAACTTTTTGGCATGCAGCAAATGTGGCATTTCACAAGTAAAACAATTCCAGTGGGTTCAGAACACTGCCACAGCAACAAAAAAAAAACTTAACTTTGTAAATTAGTGATGTGTACACAACTTGAAAATGAGACTGTAATTATGTTTCAATTGAGTATATGAGTTAGTTTCAGAAAATGAAGTAAACATGTTTAGTTTTTATTAGAGACATGGACTGTGTTTGAAAACTTAAAAACATTATTGATTATTTAAAAAAAAAAATGACGATTGGTTATAAGAATAAAAACGTCTGATGGACTGGTTAACAAAAGTTAATTATAAATGATTATTTATCAAATAAAATGACTTATTATTATCAATTTATTAATTGCTTTTTAAAATATTTATTTATAATCAATTTAAATTTGGATTTGCCCACTTAAAATTCATTTTTTACAGAGAAATAAGCATTGTTGACATTACTATCGAACAGCCGTAAAATATAAATTATTTATCAAATTAAAATGAATTGTTATTATTGTTTATAATTTATAATAATATATACATAATTTTGCCCACTTACAATCCAATTTCTACTGAGAAATAATCATTGTAGTCCTTATTTTTGGAAGCAGACATAAAATATAAATGATTATTTATTGAATTACAAAATTATTATAATTATTATTTATAATAATACTTTTTTATAAATAATATAAATATAATTTATTCTAGGGCTGTCAAACGATTAATCACGATTAATCGCATCCAAAATAAAAGTTTGTGTTTACATAATATATGTGTGTGTACTGTGTATAATTATTTTGTATATAAATGCACACACGTATATATTTAAGAAAAATATGTTATTTATATATAAAAATGTTTATATTTATATAAAATATACATTATATATAGGCTACATTCAGTCTATATACAGTATATACATGCAAATATTTCTTAAATACACATGCATGTGTGTGTATTTATGTATTAAAAATAATTATACACAGTACACACACATATATTATGTAAACACAAACTTTTATTTTGGATGCGATTAATCGTTTGACAGCCCTAATTTATTCACAATATATTTTGGGCAATTCAATATATTTATATTTTTTGAGAAATAAGCATTACGTTCAGACACAGCCATGATGAACAAACTGCAATCTAGTCTACTGGATATTCTATAGTCTCCTGGACTGGTCATGCGAGCTATTTCTGCTGTATAAATAAAGGGTTACTTAACAGGAAAGAAAGCAAAGCCAATTAGACACTTAGTATCTGTCTCTGGTTCTATATGAGTGAATGAGCCTATCAAGCGAACAACACACACTAAAATACTAGTTTAAACAGTGTGACAAACAAAGGCTCAAGCTCAACGTCAAGCGAACACACTTGATGTTGTTATATTTAGCTCTCAGCTTGGTGAAAAGTCAAATTGAATCTCTTACCATAAAGCTGCTTATCTATCGAAGAAAAGATTATCATAGAAAAAATTACATCTACGACTGCGAATTCATTCGCTTGGTTAGCGAAGCAAGTTAGCTTAGCTAAAGAGTTAGCTAAGCATTTCCAGTGATATATTACCATACCTGTCTTCACGAATCCACCTAAAATCACAAAAACACAGCAAAAATTAACTCACTCTGTTCATTTCATGTTTTAATTGTCTGGTTTTAGTAAAGATAGGAAATTATGTCGGTATTGGCCGAAATTAATGCATAAATAAGCTTTAGCATAATTTGATTATTTTGGTGACCAGAATTGATATCAGAGACAATGTCCAAATATATCACACAAAATATGGCATGTCCTTGCTGTAAAGTTCAATTTAGCTTGACAAGCAACAAAACAGCATTAACCAGCATATAATTGGCATGGAAAACAATGCTGGTCTTTGCAGCATGGATAGTTAAAAAATGGTCTAAATTTGAACGAAGAGCTTATGCATAGTATTAAATAAAAAATGTTATGATCATGTGATGAGATGAACATTTTTAAAGTGATTTACAGATATAAAGATTAGGGGGGAAAAGAGACAGCTTACCACATTCATGCAGCAACATAGCTGATGTAGACAAATGAAAGAGAGACAGGACAAAAAAGAAAAGTAAAAATGGAGATAAAGAAAGAACAAAATGATTATGAATTCACCAACACAGACAGGGATAGTGTGCAATAAGATTGTGTTGCTAAATTTGGGTGACTCCAGGTGGGAATGGGGCTTAGAGATTGTCTCTGAAATTGGACTGTGATTTCATTAAACATTGATAAATGGGGGACTTTTTGAATTTTGGACATCTAAATGCTCCATTATATACCATTTTAAAAGTATGGGATTGGTAAGATTTTTTAAATATGTTTGTAAAGTAGTCTCACCAAGGCCGGATTTATTCGTTTACCTATTTTAGCATGTTGAAAATGACAAATCTGAATTTTCAGCATCATTAGTGAAAATGTCTTCGGTGTCACATGATGGTGATTTGATGCTCAAGAAACATTTATTATTATTAGCAATGTTGAAAACAGATGTGTGGAGTTTCTGTGGAAACTCAGATTTTTTTTAAGGATTCTTTGATGAATAAAAGGTTCAAAAGAACAGCATTTATTTGAAATAGAAATATGAATAATGTTATTGTAATAATGTAAAGTATAAACTGCCAATTTTTATCAATTTAATGTGTCCGTGCTGAACAAAGATGAATTTCTTTTTTAAAAAAAATCATACATTCAATTTAACATTAATTTAGTGTGACTGATTAAAATAATAATAATGATAATGCAATAAATAGTTCATGACCTGTTCATAAATGTCATATTAAGGACATTTCCTACCAATACAGCAATTCATAAAGTACTTTAATGTTTTAAAGTAACACTTCAACAGATTGACAAACAACTGATTGGATTGGGATGAATGAATGGAGATAAAACAAAAACATATTGAATATATTTTTGTCTGTCACAGAAAATACATAACATCTTAAATGATCTTCATTTGTGGGATTGTGATTAATAGATGAATTATTGAGCATCTCATGTAATTAATTATCTTATATTTTTAGTTCAATTGACAGCCCTAAAACAAAGTATTAACAATATGAAATTTGAAAAATGAGAATGACGTCAAGGAAAATCTAACATCATATTCCTGAATCAATTTCGTTCTGTTAGTACAGAGACCATGAGATCTCACAGGCTCTGGAATTTGGCAGGAATCCCATGTATCGGCAGCACATTATGGTTTCAATTGTCTCATCCTGACCTGAAGTAACAGTCCCGACAGCTTTTCTCTGAGAGAGCTCTTAACCTTTGGCCAGGAGGGAATATGGAGGATATATCCACTGAAATTGAGCAGTAAGCGGGAGGAAAACTGCATTACTGCAGCAGTAAAACGAAAGGAGAGGATCAGCTTTGAAGGAGGAGCGGAGGAAGACAGAAGCCAGAATAAAAGGCAGCTGCAGAAAAAAGAAAAAGTCTTGTTTCAATCGTTTCTTTGCTATCTTTCACCTGTCCATCCCCTCCTCCTCCATTCTGGTTCCTGCAGCTCTAGGAAGAAGTTTGCATGCTTGTCATACTCCTCATGGTCAAGAATTTTAACCTTTATGGTCTTCCTGTGGGGGGAACATAAAATCACATTTGAGGAATGAAGCATGCTTGTGTGTTCACACATTTGGGCCTCAAAACAAAAAGTTCATGAGCCAATCAAATCCCTGAATAATTATGACACAAGACTCTCCATTCCTATTTGATTCATAAGTTTGTCCAGCAGAGTTTATCTCCAACCCTACTCAAACACAACTAAACCAGCTAATCAAGCTCTTCAGGATCGCTTGAAAATCACAAGTTGAAACAGGTTGGAAATAAACTTTGCAGAGCAGTGGTTCTCCAGGAGCAGGGTTGAAGACCTCTGATTCAATGACAAGATACACTTTATAGTGTACGTTAGGTCTAGAGAGGTTGTGGGTGGAATGTGAGCCAACTAACTGGCTTTGTATATTAACACTTCCAGTTCAGCCCTGAAGATGGCAGCTGTTACAGGGAAGTGGGACCAGGGGAAGACGACATCCCACCTTTTCTCGCACTCATTTCCACCATTTGTGGCTCTCCAATCTCCAGGAAGAAGTTCTTATTCTTTTCATACTCCTCGTCATCGATTATATTGATCTGAATAGTTTTGCTGAAAGAGAAAGAGAGAAAGAAAAAGAGCACAAGTTTGCAGACATGAGATAGGCTGAAGAGCTGAAGAAAAGAGTAGAAGCATGCTGGAGAAATAACCGAAAGCAAAGAAAAGCAGAATGAAAGAATACGGACAAGTGACTATGTTGTAAGCAACATCAAACGTTAATAAAAAATGAAAAACAAAGGAATAAAAAAAACTAAAAATGTTTTTGTCATCATTAATATTTCTTTCTTTTGTTGAACACAACAGGAGCTGCTATGCAGGATATCCACAATGTTATTTCCCATGCAATGAAAATAAATGTTAAAAATAAATAAATAAATATATTTTTTGACAGATTTTGATTTTAGGGTGAACTACCCCTTTAAGGTTTATATATATATATATATATATATATATATATATATAGCTATTAGAAAAGAATTGGATTAATTCCCTGAAGGAAATGGAAAAATCTGTGACATATTGTGCTCAGTCTGAATGAATTGTTTATCTGCACATGCTGTGCATGTTTATTATCTATCTAATGAGTGCTTTACATGCTCACACTCAAATAGAGCAGCATATATATCATCATATAATGTGAGAGTCAGGGGCAATGGAAATCATGTGAATAATGATCTGCAATCACAGCTGTGTTTACTGGAATATACTGGCCTAAAAGCCCTTTAAGTGCTTCTGTCTGGTTTTGTGAATAATACAACAACAGGCTATCCCTCAATCTCCCTTTGTCATATATATTTTTTTAAATTGTATCAATTTACTAAGACCATTACACAAGTCATTGTAATAAACTGCAACACAAAAATAATCTATAAAGTTTAAATCTCACCCTCTACACAAGTCAGCAATGTTAGACCAAGAACAACCCACTTCGATAGAAGGGTCTGTATGATGGACCAACACAATCTCATGGCAATTCGTAACTATTTTGGTATTTACTTTTGGGCGAATTGGTGGCTAATTCATATGAATGTATACGATCTTGTGTGTTTTCGTACAATTTGTTTACACCTCAGTGGTGGTTAGGTTTAGGGATGGGGTTATAGGGGAGGACCTTTCCAGCTTACTTTTTGAAAAATCATACATTTTCGTACGTTTCACGTCCTACCAATTCATACCAAATCGCCACCTCAAAAAATATTTACGTTTTTCAGTGAGATTGGGTTTTATGGACATATTTATGATCTATTTCACAAGAAAAACACACACACAAAAAATTGTATTTGCACAAAAACTTTTTTTTACCTAAATTGTTTAAAATCAACCAAAGATCGCAACTGCCAGTTTTTAGACAGCTCTTGCTACATCGCCTCCTTGTCAAATTGTTTCGTTTTCCCGTTAGATTAGGTTGGATGGACATATTTATGATATATTTCACAAACAAAACGCCCACACACACACACACACACACACACACACACACACACACACACACACACACACACAAAAAACAATCAGCCACTCCAAACGCAAATGCAGTTTTCAGCCATCTCTTGCTATTTGTTTGTGGAACGTGCATCAGCTGATCGGCGAACAGCGTGGGCATGTCATCAAGAAAGAACACACAGAAAGCTAAAACACATCCCTTGAAATACTCTCTACCTTCATCCAAGCATGTGCTCAAAATAAACCCTTCCTCTTGACTACAACTTGCATCTACAGTAAGCTCCGCTTGTCACAAAATCTTGAATTTTTCTGCCATCAGCACACTTCTGCTAGGGAACAACAGAGAATTGAACAGTGTAGTGGGTGATTCTATGAAACGGGTGCCTTTTTCTGTGTGATGAGGTGATTTTTTTTAAGAACATCAAGATTATAAACATTGTACCAGCCAAATAATGTGTTGAAGTATTAACAAATTCTATCTCAAGCTAAATAAATATATTAGTTGGAATTTCATAATGCATTCAGAAAGGTAACAAGATTGATATAATAGTTTAACAAAGGGTCACAGTACTTCAAACTACATACGATATTTCTACAAACCTTCACATTTCAATTATCAACTGTTTACTGTGCCAGAGACGATCCGCAACCTCATTCTGGACTACTACAGCATTTTCAAATTGAGAGTTTCATCAGGAGCGGTAACATCTGCCTGGCAACGGCTAGAGAAGGGTATTATTAGCGGCTGTACAATCTCGGTACCACTCTTCGCTCTAGCCATGAACATGATTGTCAAATCAGCAGAGGTGGAATGTAGAGGCCCCACGTCTAGATCTGGTCCTCGGCAGCCACCCATAAGAGCCTTCATAGATGACCTTACTGTGACAGCAGCTTCAGTCTATGGGCAAGGATGAGTTTTAAGCCAGCCAAGTCCAGGTCCCTGGTCCTAAAGAAGGGCAAAGTGACCGGTCGGTTTCCGTTTTACTTTGGAGGGGTCACAGATTCCATCAGTAACATAAAGACCAGTCAAGAGCTTGGGGAAGATCTTTGACAGCTCTATGAAGGACACAACCGCTCTCCAACAAACCAGAGACGACATGAAGAACTGGCTCACTGCAGTCGACAAGTCGGGGCTTCCAGGAAAGTACAAAACCTGGATGTAACAGCACAGGCTTCTTTGGCCCCTTCTCGTATACGAAGTACCAATGACAACGGTAGAAGCACTGGAGAGAACCATCAGTCCGCTCCTCAGGAGGTGGTTAGGGCTCCCACAGTCTCTAAGTAACATCGCCCTCTATGGCCATTCCAACAAGCTGCAGCTTCCCAGCAGCAGCTTGTCTGAGGAGTTCAAGGTCACAGGCGCCCGGGAGGTCTTGATGTACCGAGATTCCTCCGATGCCAGTCTCCTCAGCTGGAATCTGCGTTAAGACGGGAAAGAAGTGGCAGGCTCAGGAAGCGGTGGACAGAGCGGCGGCACGGCTGAGGCATGGTGTCTTGGTTGGCAGCGTGGCGGTGGGGCGTGCAGGCCTGGGCAGTTTTCCTAAGCCGCACTATGACAAAGTAAGAGGGAGGGAGAAGCGTCAGTTGGTGCAGGACGAGGTGCAGGCAGAGGTGGAGGCCAGACCAAGATGGTCGGTATGAAACAGCAAGGTGCCTGGACTAGGTGGGAGAACGCCGAGCAGCGTAAGATCACCTGGGCAGAGTTGTGGAGCTCTGAACCACTGCGCATCAAGTTCCTCATTAGTTCGGTGTACGATCTTCTACCTAGCCCATCCAACCTATACCGCTGGGGCTTAGTCGATTCACCAGAATGCCAACTGTGCCAAAGGAGTGGCACACTGGAGCATATCCTCAGCTGCGTCCAAAGGCTTTGGGGGATGGGCGGTATCGCTGGCGACATGACCAGGTCCTAAGGGCTCTGGCAGATACAATCACCCCAGCGATTCATAGTAGTAAGAGTCAGCATCCCTCCAAGCATACCATCATCTTTGTCAGAGCTGAGGAGAAAGCACATCAGCAGCCACGCTCCCCAGGTGGGCTCCTCGCCAATGCAAGAGACTGGCACCTTCAAGTGGACCTGGGAAGGCAGCTCAAGTTCCCGAATCACATCACGGCCACTTCACTCCGCCCAGATGTGGTGATAACATCGGAGTCGACCAGGCGGTCATAGTGGAGCTTACTGTCCCCTGGGAAGACAGATTGGAGGAGGCAAATGAGCGTAAGAGAGCCAAGTATGTGGAGCTGGTGGAGGAGTACAGGAGCAGCGGCTGGAAAGCACGTAGTGAGTCAGTGGAGGTCGGCTGCCGGGGATTTGCTGGACAGTCGTTGCTCCGAACACTCAAACTCCTTGGAGTTAAAGGACAACTGTGCAGACGAGCCATAAAGAACATCTCTGAGGCTGCCGAAAAAGCCTCACGATGGCTGTGGATCCGGAGGGGGGATCCGTGGAGTAGCACACGGAGTGGAGTAGCAGCTCCATTATGTTTATGGATAAGCACGCCACTTGGACACAGGCCGGGGACTGATCACCCCCGGCAGGGTCGCCCGGGCGATGGTGTCTGTTGATTAAAGACCCGAAACACCTGTTGCCCCCGGGTTCTTCACTGATGACGTATCCAACTAGCACCAGTAGGTGTATGTTAGAACTGTACAAAATCACAGGATCAATGATCATTATGTCTTCATTAACTAAGCATTATCTATCAATGACTTCATGTGTGTGGTCCCTCAACTAAAGTGGTGACTAGGTCCTTTGAAACACTGATGAACAATGTGCTATTAATGGTGTCATAACTGTGAACAAAGAAAACATCATAATCATGCGTAATAAATCATAATTCATGGTGATGTGCTCATCTTAGTTAATGTTTTAATTAAGGTCATGAAGTCATGAATGAAAAACGTTGAACTTGTGTTAGTTCCTGATGATTCATCAGATATTAATGCATGAATGAATGCATAATTCATGCATGAATTTATACATGAATTCATGATAATTCATGTACCCTTACCGTAAAGTGTTACCCAACTAATTATACCTTTTATAATTGTACAAAATACTACCTTTAATTTCCATATATATATATATATTTTTTTTTTATACGAATATTTGTTAATAGATTAAGACAATGGCTGGGGACAAGCTAAAAAAATATATTATGATGAAATGAGAAAATCTAAATCTAGAAAATCATAGAAAATTGAATCTAAAATATAATCTAAAAAATTGAATAGTTACAAGAAAAAAATATTCTACATTTATAAATCAAGCTGGCATTAGCTAAATCATTGTTTACAGATATTGAATGTGAAGAACACGAATGGCCCTTGTTTTGTATGTTTGAAAACCTAGCGAATCTAGAACAATTTTATAAGGCACATAATTATTATAATTTTGACTTTCCCCCTCTCATGCTCTTAAGATTGTCCACCTGTCTCAGTTCTGTGACCGGCCGTCTGCAATGACTCAAACCACAGATTGATAAACTATGACAATAACAAAAAGGACAAATTGAGACAAAGGCCTGCGTATGAAAGAAAGCACAGTGCCATTGTCTGCGTACAAATACTATAGATTTATGTAATAGTGTAAGCTCCCTGTACACTCA